TATTTTGTCAGCCACCAGCGGTTGAAGCCTACAGTTTTTCTAGTGCCAGATCTATTACCCTTTGAGTGCCACTATCGATAGATTCTTATGACATTCAACAACCACTCACAGAAATAGTCTTTGATAACGACATTCCTACTCTTTTAGAAGTTGAGGACATTCTTTCTGTTACACTACGGTTTGTAGACTAATTCTGATAATGACCAAATCTTTGTATTTACAAGGCTAAAGGAATCACTTGGTACATTACTTTATCATTCTGTTTACACATGCAAATAAACTGAGTGTTTAATAAGTGTGTTTGAGAGAGTCCTAACAAAGTGACCAGCCAATATATATTCTTATTGTAGAATTTCGAACACTCCTCTGAAAATACTATGAATAATTATATAATACTAAATCATATATTTGTTGTTTTATAAACTTCATCAATTATGCTATCAAATGTGTTTGCTATGATGTAAATATTTGAGCAATACTTTATTTGTAGATAATTATTAGAATTTGTCAAATTTGCTAACTAATTTTTGCCAGTATGTTTTCTCAACTACATACTCTCATATACCGTTATTTATATCTATTTGCTGATTGGATATATTTTAAGTAAATCAGTTATTATATATATCTGGCATACCGTATTTTAAATATTATTAAAAGATTTTGATGATTTCAAAAGAATATATGATTTACATTCGAAACCAAAGCTCTTTATTCTGTATTTTATTAAACATTTTGAACTTTATTTTTCCATAACTTAGAAGTTTTTAATATTTACGAGTTGTGCCTGTTTTTAGTGACAGTTCCTGCATACTAATAGGCATTCTACAAACCTTATCTTCATACTTACCGCATAATCTACACATCAGTGGTATAATATTTTAAACTTTTGAATATATTAAAAAAAGAGAACGAAGACTTCTAGATTTTTCTTCAAGATTTTTAATTTTTAAAAGACTTCTTTTGGTACAAGTTCTGCAAAAAGTTTATCGCTGTTTTGTGTAGATATCACTGATATCAAAAAACAACAACCAGAGAAACGATTTGTGTCTGAATATAAACACAGGTTAAATAATGACAAAATTTACATTTAAAACTAAAATGATAAAAATTTCTTTGAGGATGTTTTTTTTTTCAATCTATTTTTCTCGCTGCTAGACTCTATTCTCTGTTGCAGTGAGTTTTAACTTGGTGCGCGTTTCAGTAATGAACTTTATCTGTTACCGACTTTTTTCCATATTTCAACAAGCTTTGAAAGTATAGTATATGTAACTTTTACCTATACACATACGGGTTACTTTTTTTAAACAGCTATTCCATAATTAAACTTGTAAGCATGTGACTCTTATTTGTGCTATTTTCAAGGAAAAACTATAACCATATCTTTACTGACTAAACCATTACTTATTATTTCATAAGAGTGTGTTTAACAAACGTTTTGTGTATGATTGAAACACAGTGTCAACCAAAAGTAACATATATTTCTGCAATTCCCATGTAATATATATCTAAATGGACTTGGTACAGAGCAAAAGAAATATTTACACAACATTTTTACTGCTTTTAATAGTTATATCTATTTAAAACTATAATGTAACGAATAACATATAAAGAGGAATGAAGTGAACAACTGTTCGTGACAACGAACAATAGTAGTACAAGATTTGTTCAATCAGCTCAAATTGAGAAGTTTGAAGTAGTGAGATGCTTTTTTCATTAGATACTCATTCTCATATATATGTACTGTTCTCACAAGTCTGCTCTTCGAGGGGTCCTAGTTGTCATGTTATAATGTGGTATAGTATTTCCTCTGACCTTTGAGGTATCTTCTGAACTACTTTTTGTCAGGTGTTTAATCCATTTATACACATTATTGATATCAAAGCTGGACCAGCAGGTGAATACTGAAAGGCTCTGGTTTAATTGTTAGAATTAATCTCTTCAGGTGATTTTAAAATGTTCTGTAGCGTGAGGCCCAGACTTTGAGCGAGTCATTCCAAGATGTATTCTGATATGCATGGACATTTAAAATTTCAGAAACTTTATATATTCTTTCCACTGTGCAAGATGAAAATCACACCACAACTTCCCCACCACAATCTTTCACAGGTGGTATAACATAACCATGGATGACTTGCATAGTGCTTGTTTCAATCACTTCAATATTATATGAGATGGCTCTCATCATTCTAAAACTATACGAAGTGGTTCTCGTTACTCTAAAACTACACGAAGTGGTTCTCGTTACTCTAAAACTATATGAAGTGGTTCTTATCACTCTAAAACTACAGGAAGGGGTTCTCATCACTCTAAAACTACAGGAAGGGGTTCTTATCACTCTAAAAGTATATGAAGTAGTTTTTCTCACTCTAAAAGTATGTGAAATGGTTCTCATCACTCTAAAACTATATGAAGTGGTTCTTATCACTCTAAAAGTATATGAAGTGGTTTTTTATCACTCTAAAAGTATGTGAAATGGTTCTCATCACTCTAAAACTATATGAAGTGGTTCTTATCACTCTAAAACTACACGAAGTGGTTCTTATCACTCTAAAACTATATGAAGTGGTTCTCATCACTATAAAACTACATGAAGTGGTTCTCATCACTATAAAACTAGATGAAGTGATTCTCATCACCCTTAAAAGTACATGAAGTAGTTCTCATCACTCTAAAAGTATATGAATTGGTTCTCATCTTTTCATAATTACATAACGTCATTCTCATCACTGTAAAACTACGTGTAGAGATTTTCGTCACTCTAAAACAAATGAAGTGGTTCTTATCACATTAAATTATTCTTATTTCATTCTTATTACATTATCGAGTTTTATAAAGAAACCTAAATAAAGTGGTTTTCATCTCTCCAATATTACATGAAGTGGTTTCTACCACTCCAAAACTATATGAAACGATTCTCATCTCTCCAGAACTCTTTGCAATGGCTCTCATCACAAAACCAAGATTATAGTGCTGATGGGCTTACGAAAAGCTAAACAGCTTCAAGCAGTATTAAATGTATTGTATGTTTTGCTTGTTCCAGTCTTCCTAAAATATCTACATTCGAAAATAGTGCGCTGTACAAACCTTACAGATCTCACTCATTTTCATAGTTGATATAATAAAGGTATATTGATTTGATGAAAAAAGTTATTTTTGGCATTCTTTTGCAATTTTCAAGGGTAAATACCTGTCACACTATGACAGAAGTCATACGATTATTAAATGTTGTACTACTATGTTTCTGACACTGTTAAATGTGTTAATTCATACTAGATAACACATGACGAAATACTACATTTATTTCACACTTAGAAACGGATTAGTAAGCGTACATATTAATGATTTATAGTTATCCTACAAAGATCAATTGTTGATCATTACGTATCACTTAAATTACATTTAAGTCGAACGTTTTTCCCTCCTTAGATTTTATTACTTTATTAACCTCAATTACTTTGATGTTATTTTAAGAGTCCAAATGTTCAGAAATAAAAAAAAACATTTTATTCTGTGTTTTTGTTCACAAACTACATCAAAGTACGCATTCAGAGCTTACACTGTAGATCAAAATAAATCTATCCTTTTTTCTCGCTGATCTTTCAACGTTACACAAGAGACAGATATTGATAGTGTCTGGAAGATGCGATGTCCTATCTCAGTGATGGTATTTGGTAAATTATGTTCTAAATCTCCATTTAGATAGAGAGAAAACAAACACATAGATACAAGAAGACACAATCGACCGATGGATGTATACAATTTCTGCTTATTTCTTTTTTATACAGATTTGGCTGTTTATTTTTTTTATGTTAACATAAGACTATTAAATCTATGTAGATACATATTCGAATAGGTACATAGACATGTTTATGCAGGTAGACTGATGAGGATTTAGAAAAATAAGTGAAGTACAAATGCATTTTCATCAATTTGAAGTTTTAACATGTCACGCCCTAAGACATCACATATTAGAGCAGTTTACTAATATATGTAGAAAACGCATACAAAAAGTATTATAATCTTAAACAATATTTCAACAATAGTAAATTAGTTTCAATAATTTGGGTTTAGTTTGTTTAGTTTCAAAAAGCAGGTTGTGTTTCTTTTGGAAATCTTTCTGACATCACCTAACATAAATGCACGAATAGACTGTAATTAGACTAAATACTCAATTAAGAATAACAACAACAAAATGCAGCTACAATGTATCCAAACTAAGAATATAAATATAGAAAGGACATTTTTTGTTTATTTGTTTTTAGAGCAAAGCCACATTGAACAATCTTCTGTGTCCCATAGCGGGGAGTCGAACCCAGGATGTTTAGCGTTGTAAGTTGGTAGACTTCACCTGTTCTACCGTGGAACATAGACAGGAGAAAGACAAAATATGTGATTACAACTTTTCTCCCCTCTCTTCCTCACACACCGAATAATTTATGCTTTCAAATTTTTAATAAAACAGCTTAAAAATTATATTTATGTATAGAGTTGAATACGTTATATTAAACCGATTTTCAATATGCAAATCATGAACCGCTTGGTGATCGCAACAGATATAAAATCGCGGAGGAACGCAATGTATAGAATTATATTTTGACATCGTTTAATTTCATAGGAAATGTGATGCCACCAAAAATTGGTCGCTTTTGCGAAGGGTGTGTAACAGCTCTTTCTGACGCATAATAATCATACACTCTTAAAGATGTGTTCAGATCAGGGATTTAGAATTTCTAAGGCGGGGACATGCCTTGTTCTTAATGACATTGGTAAACAAATGCATATGGATCAACTTGTGGAACGAGGACCACTCATAAAGAGCCCTACGATAAGTCTTACACCAAATGTGGTAAGAAAAGAGCCGCGTCTTATAACGGGTAAGAACCATCCAAGTGGGCCAGGCAACATAATAAAGACGAATCCTTGTCTCGAAACGAAGCTAATAAGAGATGTTCAACCAAGATAAGGCTTAGAATCATACCTTCCGTTCAATCATCACATACCTCAAGGAGCTGGAGGATAAATCGGATATTCATGCTATTCCTTATGAAGACGTATCGATCAAGTAGCCAGACGCAGCAGCAATGGATTTCTGGATGATCAGAGTGTTCAAATGAGCACTGGAAAATTGCCGTCTCTGTACACCTGATGGAATATGGAATACTATCAATTAATATTGATGATCTTTAACCATAACCACCTTAAGACGAAGCCTTTTGCAATATAAACTACACTGCGGGGCTATTATCAAGATGTACGGTCATCAGATAGAACATGACGGGACAGTAACGACGTGGTGAGGCTCCTAGATCGTTTTAATATTTCAGTATAACGTCCTCAACCACTGTATGTGTACATGAAGCCAGTTAATATTAACGCTCGATACTCACATCTTGACCATATTATCTATGAAGTCCTAAAATACATATTAAGGCCTGAGAATCGCTCTCCTTTGTTATATCGTTTATGAATTGTACCAAACCTCCTCACAATACACATCAGTTGCAATAAGCGTTATACTCGCTTTTAATTGTAGTTTAAACAAATACTCCTTACTTTTGTCACCTTGTCATTATCAGGAGAAGGTTTGTTGAAATCTGTGAAAGACGGTAACCAAGAATAGACGGACAGGCATACAAAAGTATAGAAAAACATACACACAGATACAGAAATAAATTGACAGACAAAATATAGATAGATACATAAAAATAAACAGACGGATAGTTAATGAATGACATTAATAAAATACGTAAAATAACATCCCTTAAACAAATCTTTGTGATTGTTTGACACGTAGAATATAGTATTCATTCAGTACTAAATGCAATAAAAATGCATAACTATATTTCTTCAACAAATTAAAATCTCAATGAATTTTTTCCGTTTTATCCAATCTGAGCTCTATAAGCTCAGACAAATTTATTATTCCCTTGGAAGAAGCGATAAAAAGATAGACCTTCGTATGTAGAAGAACCACTAGAATTCTACGCCACTGAAATGTGTACAACAAATCGTGAGTGACATTAATAATCTAAGTTAACTGAACCAGAAGTGCTGAATCACATCTACTGATTTCTATGGCAGCAATTATAAAAGAAAACAACAACTGAATTATTTTTATGTCTAATTTTCTTTATCTCTATGTGGAGACAAGAACAAAATCATAAAAAATAAACAAGCTACTATCTAAAGATAAGTAGCTTGTTTATTTCTTATGATTTTGTGCTTATTTACGTACAATGAGCTGATCGAGCGTAACAATTTTCGCTTATCTTGGGTTCTAAGGTTTCAAAGGAACCTGTAGCAACTCCGGAAATCAAACTCAGATGTATATTTATTTCTGCTGGTGTTTTAAACAGCATTTAATTTATTGAAACTAGGTTTTGAGAACACGAATAATTTTTCATTTACGTTATAAAAGCACCGATCAAAATGAAATTATATAATATAGAAAAATAATTTAATGACCTCGTGGTCGTAGTAAACCTAGTCTGTTAAAACCGAAAATTCCCAAAAGAGTTACACCCTAGACGTCCTGAAAATATGATAAAAATTGCATGGTGAATGTTACACTTAAAAGAAGGCAGTACCTTTTATTTACACCTAATATAATATCTATTTTCTCTCTAAGTAGGGGTGGCTTAATGTCTTGAAGAGGAATTGCCACACCTGTATATTATCCAGCTATGCCGAGCTTTGCTTGGCAGAATTATAATAAGTATAATAATTGAGGTACAGGTGTTCTTTACATATGTGCTATACACATTAAGCCATTTACATATGTGCTATACACATAAAGCCATACCGGTGCGGTAACTATCCAATATCAAGGAAAATTTTCTGCCAGTCTGTTGACGCATGCCCTCCTAAACATGTTGACCGATCCAGACCAAACTTGACATACTAATTTAGTAGCCCATACGCAAATCAAATTCATGCTAAGGTTTCCCATATGTTGAAAAATAAAATTATTTTATAAAATAACTCCTATATCGTTACTGCATTAACTATTGTAAATAGTTGAGTTTAAACAAAACTTACATCAACACCACAACAACATTCTACAAGTCAAAGATTATAAATAACATTTTTAGCATTTTGGCTTCTTTCCCATAATAACCACAATATACAGTAATAAAATATCCAGCTACAATGCGGAGAATAAAGATAATGCTACTGTTTAAAAGTTTCCCGTTCTTTTCTGATTCACAGCATTTAACTTCCGGTTAAAGTGTTTCCTAATTAAATTATTTTTAGGATATTTCTTAATTCTGAATGTAGAATATAGTTTGCTGTGGAAGCAAAATTCAAGATTATTACTCAGTTTAATGCATTAAAGTAGAAATCTACTGTGAAATGGACTGCTTTGAACAAGAAATGGCGCAACTGCTTTGCCATTTCTGCCAAGTTTCTTGACTCAACTTCTGCACTTGATCACTTTCGACCCACTTCCCCTATCTTACAACAATTTTTCTTGGAGAAGGAACGCTACTGGAAATCTTCATTTTAGCAAATTTGTGAATGTTTCCAAAAGACAAAAGATGGAGGAGCGCAGACTCCTTAAAATAACTTGGAAAACTTTTAAGGTAAAACATTTAAAGTGCACTACAAGAACTTCAAAAAGAAAGTCAATTATAGACTGAGAGTTCGCTTTTACTTGTAGACTTTCATCAAGGGTAGCGCTGGGTATGGAACGTGCTGCTCCAAAAGTGAGTCACATCTACTTAATATAGTTATATGCTTGAAAAGTTCATATATTACTAATCCTTCATTTCTTTTGTTGTAATTACCAGATAGTTCATCACTGATTCCTAAAAATTAAATATAACAATATGTTACTTCATTTATTAATTGTTTATGGTAATAGAAAACAAAAATGACAAAAAAAGGTAAAATATTGTTTACGTTAAACATAAATGGGTGTTCCCCGAGGAAGCCTTAAAACCTGATAGTTTGTTAAAGTCTCAAAACGAGCTTCCGTCTTCTATAATTTCTTCATGGATCGTTTGTTCCAACTCGCTCTTTGTAAAGGGAATGAATTACATACTAGTGTCTTCACATTCCCAGCCAGTTCTCTTTATTTTCATGAGAAAGCTCTGGGAACATATTTCGTGTTATTTTATTTAAAAAAAAATATTATGTAAATTCAGAGTATTCTATGAATAAAACTTAGTTCATTATTCAAGAAACCTTATTTATGGACCAGTGATTACGATAACAAATACTAAAAAAAAGTCTGTGTGTAAGATAATTGAGTAATCTGGTGAGAAGAGATTGGACTTTGCAATAATACAGGAATATTTATGGGCGTATTTGATGTGCTAGACGTTTGTTGAAAATTCACAAAATACCAAATCTAAAGGGTGTTTTCAAATTTATAAATAATTACTTCATACATTATTCGAAAATATAAATTTAATTTTACAGGATTAATAGAAAGCGTTTAAAATTCTTAGTATGGAAAGGAAGTTTTATATATTTGTGATTTAGGAGATATGGTGAAAGTGACTCGTAGTTTAATCAAATCATTGGTTCCTGTTTGCTACGCAGACAGTTAGTCAAAGTATGTATTTAAGAAAGGATAGAATTTTTACAACTAGATAAACATAGATCTTCGCCCTGTTTAATTAACTTTCAAACCCTGATATGACCTTAGAACAAGGACATATAAACAAATAAAAACACCCACACCTACTGCTTGGACAGAACAACCTTCTGACCTGTTTTTCATATGACCTAATAATATAGCTTAAAATATGACTGTATCTATTATATGGTGATTTATGGTACACCCCAATGTCAAACTTCTATGTTTGTTGTACAAAAGGTTGTCCATATAAGATAAAATAGGGCACATTTAATAAGAATAATGAATACAAGTTATAGTATTAAAAGTAATTTATATGTAGAGCTGACTTGGTTAATCTCAGGCTTCAGTTTGTATATGAACATATATGTTCACACAAACTGAGGCCAGAAATTAACGAAGTGAGTTCCGCATATAAATTACTTTTAGTACTATAAAATAGGGTATATCCTTTAATTACATTTTTAAGTGTAGTAAGCTACTGGACTATATAAACAATGAAATTATCCGAGTCAACATTACTAATTTTTTGCCCTAGAAGCCAGCACCAGACACAAAAATAGGAACAAAACCATGTTACCTGTTGATTTTTTATTAAAATTTCCAAATATACACCTGGAAAAAAGTTAAGCACCCCCGTGTTTTTTTCAAGTGATTCAGATTCAACGTTCTTGTGACTGATTATAAATT